CAAGTGTGTGTCAAGTGCGTCTTCAGGCTCCTGGGGGAGGGGGGGGTGCTGTGTGTTGGGAGCAGCCTGCAGGGGCCTCTGGGGTGGCCGCTCAGGACAGATGCTGAGGCTGAACCGCCCCGGAAACGATGAGATAATAAACGCTAGTTGCTTTAAGACACTACACCGTGGGGTCATTTCAGACGGGGTGCAGTCATCATGCTGGAGCCACAGTCCGTCACGCCAGCTGGTTCTGACCCCGGAAGACCGTCCCTCGGGTCGACGGGCCAGAACACAGAAAGCTGAGACACTGTCCTCAGCAAGTGTCTGAGATAAACATACTAAGTCCTCGGGGAGAAGGAATTGTCCAGAACAGTCCCGAGGACGTGGTCAGCAAATCAAGGGAAAAAAGGAAGAATGACCTCATGGCACCCCGTGCCCCAGAGAGATCCCAGGCGGAATGAGATACCGGGGCGAGCGAGGCCGTTAGACACCCGGAGGGGGCGGGAGAGTCTGCTTCGCGGGGGCCTCGCAGCGTGGGGGCGCCAGGCCAGCCGGGGGACAGGCATACCTCTGGCTACGAAGATGACCCACTTCAACTTGGCGACCTCGCTCTCCGAATCTACTCCGGGAAGTGATCACACAGGTGACTGTATCGGTCATCATCGTCTGAAATGGCACCCAACCCGAGTGCCCATTAACAGAAGTGACGGGACGTCGCCCCAGCTTCGGGTGTGACGGAGCCTGTCAGGGTGAGACCCATGCACGTGCCTGCAGCGCGAAGGCCCACCTGCCGTCGCCCTGACGCTGCGGACGGGCAGGGAAGAGACCCTGTGTCAACCGGGGTCTTCCCGGCCGCGTTCCCTCTCGCTGTTTTTCTGTTTTCCCAGTTCCCACCACAAGCATGTGTCATTTGTCCTAAAAAGAAACCAGAGGCGTATTTTCAAAAACGGCAGCACGCGGTGGCCATCTGTTGACGAGGATCGGGTTGAGCCCCCGTGTCGAGTTTCCCAAGCTGCCTGGTCATGCGAGGTGCTGGGCCTTCGATCCCAGGTCCCTGGGAGGCCTCCGCTCTGTGCCCAGGCTGGGCAGCTCCTGGGCAGCGGCTCCTCCACAGAGTCCCGTCTGCTTCCTCTGGCATCAATCCTCAGTGTTCCGCCTGCAATCGGGAGGATGGCTGAACCCTGCTCCCCTCCAGCACCCCTCCCTGTGAAGGTGCTGGGTACAGCAGAGCAGGGGCATCATGGGGGTCCCGCCCCAAAAAGGAGGCTAATGCCCCCGGCTGGAGAAACGTCCTGAAACTGTCCAAGGCAGGGACAGGGCCTAGGGCTGGGCTGAGCTGGGCTGGGCTGGGCAGGGCTGGGCAGAGCTGGGCTGGGCTGGACTGAGCTGGCCTGGGCTGGGCTGGGCTGGGCTGGGCTGCGCTGGGCTGGGCTGCGCTGGGCTGGGCTGGGCTGGGCTGGGCTGGGCTGCGCTGCGCTGGGCTGGGCTGGGCTGGGCTGGGCTGCGCTGGGCTGGGCTGCTCTGGGCTGGGCTGGGCTGCGCTGGGCAGAGCTGGGCTGGACTGGGCTGGGCTGGGCTGGGCAGAGCTGGGCAGAGCTGGGCTGGGCTGGGCTGGGCTGGGCTGGACTGGGCTGAGCTGGGCTGGGCTGGGCTGGGCTGGGCAGAGCTGGGCAGAGCTGGGCTGGGCTGAGCTGGGCTGGGCTGGGCTGGGCAGAGCTGGGCTGGGCAGAGCTGGGCTGGGCTGGGCTGGGCTGGGCAGAGCTGGGCAGAGCTGGGCTGGGCTGGGCTGGGCTGGGCAGAGCTGGGCTGGGCTGGGCTGGGCTGGGCAGAGCTGGGCTGGGCTGGGCTGGGCTGGGCAGAGCTGGGCTGGGCTGGGCTGGGCTGGGCTTAGGGGAAGCACAGATCCAGGAAACCTGGTAGTGAACGGAATGTGGAGAGCCGGTGGACTTTCAATGAGCTAATCAATCACTGCGTAATTGTGACAGCTGTGCCCCCACCAGACTGCAGGCATCATGAGAGCTCACGACCACCTCAGCAGGTAGCAGGCCTGCAGCTGTGCACGAGGGGCAGGTGCCATCTGTCGTGATACCCTGCTGCCCGTTTGTATATTTTTTCTTTATTGATTTGAGAGAGAGAGAGAGAGAAACATTGATGAGAGAGAACATCAACTGGCTGCCTCCTGCATGTCCCTCACTGGGGATCGGGCCCACAACCTGGGCGTGTGTCCTGACCAGGAATCAAACTGGCGACCTCTTGGTGCAGGGTCGACGCTCAACCACTGAGCCACACTGGCCGGGCTGCCACCCTGAGAAACTACCTAACGTTGCCGGCAGCGAGGGCGGCACCGGGGCCTCTCGGCGCTACAGGAGCACCAGCTGGTCCCCGGTGGACATTAGGAGGCCTCCGTCAGACTCGGCCCAGCCTGGCACTCCACGGCCCCACACAGCTAGTATGGGTGGTGTTCGGAAGGCCCACGTGGGTGGAGGACGGAAGGGCCGACAGGTCGACGCTCCCACCTGGCCACCCAGGCTGCGGCCTCTCGCCTGTGTCCCTGCAGGCCCGCGGCTCAGGAACCTTGCTCCGGCCACTGGCGCGAGAGGCATCTGGAGACCCTGCCTGCCTCCGTGTCCAGCTTGCAGGTGAGCCCGGCGGCAGCGCGCAGGGAGGCCACAGCTGCTGGCTCTCAGGTGACCCAGCTCTCATCCTCTGGCGTTCACACTGTCAGACTCCACGGCAGCCGAGGCCGAGGCCCCGATGCGGTTCGAGCAGGGCCTCAGGGTCCCTCAAGGTGCCCCCTCGCCCCTCTGGGCACCCCCCTGCCGCCCTGGACCCCAAGCTTCGGGAGACTTTGCTGGCCACCTGCGTTCATTGTGATTGGCAGCTCATCCCTGTCAGGAACCAGGGAGAAGCTGGTGCCCCCGAGTCCCCAGCACAGGCTCCGCTGTCCCCTCTCCCAGGGGAGGAAGCAGAAGGGGCACCCACAGTCGGCCCAGACCCGTCCTGGAATGTGTCCCGCTCTCCGTCCTGGTCCCGGGTCCCGAGGCCTCGGCCTTCTCGCGTGGCGTGGCTCCTGTGGCCCTCGGAGTGGACAGCCCAGGAGGAGACACCAATCTCCTTCCCCCGCCGGCCCGCCCCTCCTGCCCGCCCTCCCTCCCGGTGCAGACAGAGGCTAAAAATACCCTCCTCTCACGTGGCCACCAGCCCAGCAAACAGCCCTTCATGTCCCCTCAGCCAGCTGCCCAGTCCTGTTCTCCGGCCTGAGGCCTCAGCAACAGGGTGCAGAGTCCCGCTCAGAGGTAGAGTCCGGGGGTCTGGAGGGGCACATGGGAGGGGAGGTGGGGACTGGGAGAGAGTGGGTCACGGTGAGACGGCCCGTGGGCTTGGAGATCACAGTGCCGGGTCCTTTGGAGAAAGACCGGATCGTGGTCGATCCCAGACCCTCCGGGCGGGGTGGGGACTCAGCAGGCCGGCTTCCCCCATGTCCAGCCAGGGGAGGCTGGACCACACCCCGACCGCTGCCAGGCCCACAGGCCCAGCCTCTGGCCGGAGCCGGGTAACGGCCCTTCTTTCAGTGCCCTGCCTGCTCGGCCCTCCTCACGCCTGGCCCAGACAGGCACGGGGTCGAGGCTCTGGGGCCCTCCAGGAGCCCCCGCCCCGAGCTGGGACTGTGGGGTGGCAGGTGGCAGCAGACACCGTTGCGGCCCCAGGGCATGTGGTTGGGTGCCCCTGCCCCTGGCGCTGCTGGGTCTGGCAAGGGAATACCACGCGGTGGGAATGCAAGGCCGGGCGGGGGGTGGCTGGCCCACTGACCTGCCAAGCCCAGCTTCGGGGGGAGAGCTGCCTTCCCAGCCCGAGGGCCTCCCGGGAGGGGTCAGGCAGCGTGGACGCTGCTCGGCCCGCTGACCTGTCTCGTCCTGGCATGAGCCCAAGCAGGTGCTCAGGCGCCCCGGTGGGCTCCCTGGGTGGGTGCCTGCTCTGGGGGACAGGGATGGGCACTGCTGGGAGAGGGGATGGTCCCACCCAGCACCGGCATCACCGCTCTGCAAGGCCCCCCTGGGCCTCCGCCGCCGTAGCTCAGGGCTTCTCCTTCTGGGGCTTTGTCCCTGCAGCACGCTGCTGCCCCGAAGACGCCCCCTGGTGGACAGACTGCGATGGGTGCAGCGGTGCAGGGTGGGAAGGCTGAGGGACAGCCTGGGTGCAGACATCACTCCCTCCTTCCTCGAGGGAGCCTTCCCGGATCAGTCGGAAGCGCGTAAATCAATATGCACTAACCCGCCCTGGCCGGTTTGGCCCAGCGGTTGGAGCCTCGGCCTGCGGTCCAGAGAGACCCGGGTTCGGTTCCCACTAAGGGCACGTGCCTCGGTTGCAGTTTGTCCCCGGCCCTGGTTGGTCGTGCGGGTGGCAGCCACTCAATGTGTCCCTTTCACGTTGATGTTTCTGTCTCTCTCTCCCTCCCGCTCTATCTGAACAAAAAATGGAAAAATGTCCTCGGGTGAGGATAAAAAAAAAAAAAATGCACTAACCCAAGGGAGCCCAGAAGCAGATTTGCTGAATCAGACGATATGAACACTCTCCAAATGTTTCCCTTGGTTGGTCTTTGCCAAGCTACACCCTGAGACGCCGGAAACCCGAGGGGTTCAGCAGGGGTCCCCAGCCTGGATCCCCACTTCCGGCTGTTTCCTCACCTGTGAAAGGGATGCTCAGAGCACACACCTCGCAGGGCTGACGAGGCCGGGCACACGGCAGCACTGTCGGCCTGGGCAGCCTCCCGATCTGCAGATGCGGAACTGGCCAGAGAGGGCCGTGGCCCCCCCAAGACCAGCAGGGCCATGGCAGGCCAAGGATCCGTGTGACCACGGACAGTGGGGCAGGAAACCTCTCCACTGTCCCCAGCGCCCTCCCCAGCCACGGTGGACCTGGGGGCAGAGGGCGCCGCTGGGGTGCTCGAGGCTTGTGGGGGTGGGAAGGACTGTGAGAAGGAGACGCCCCCCCCTGTTCTCGCCCCAGGAGCTCCTCCCCGGCAGCCATGGTGCGGAACGTGGACGACCTGGAATTCCACCTGCCCTCGCACGCCCAGGACACGCTGGACGGGCTGCAGCGGCTGCGCTCCCAGCCCAAGCTGGCCGACGTCACGCTGCTGGTGGGCGGCCGGGAGCTGCCCTGCCACCGCGGCCTCCTGGCGCTCAGCAGCCCCTACTTCCACGCCATGTTCGCGGGCGACTTCGCGGAGAGCTTCTCCGCGCGCGTGGAGCTGTGGGACGTGGAGGCCGCGGTGGTGGGGCAGCTGGTGGACTTCGTGTACACGGGCCGGCTGACCATCACCCAGGCCAACGTGGAGGTGCTGACCCGCACGGCCACGCGCCTCCACTTCCCCGCCGTGCAGAAGGCCTGTGGCCGCTACCTGCAGCAGCAGCTGGACGCCAGCAACTGCCTGGGCATCTGTGAGTTCGGGGAGCAGCAGGGGCTGCTGGGAGTGGCCGCCAAGGCCTGGGCCTTCCTGCGGGAGAACTTCGAGGCCGTGGCCCGGGAGGATGAGTTCCTGCAGCTGTCCCAGGACCGGCTGGCCACCTGTCTGGCCAGTGACCTGCTGCAGGCGCAGCCGGAGCAAAGCCGGCTGGAGGCCCTGCTGCGCTGGGTGCGCCACGACCCGCAGGCCCGGGCCGCCCACCTGCCCCAGCTGCTCGGCCTGGTTCGCCTGGAGGCCGTGCCCAGGCCCCACGTGCAGCAGCTGCTGACCACGGAGCCGCTGATCCTGGAGTCCGAGGCGTGTCGGGCGGCCCTGTCGCAGGGCCACAGCGGGGTGAGTGGGGGCGGGGGGAGCAGGGAGGGGCCCTCAGACACTCCACCTCTTGGGGATGGAGAGAGCACCTTCACCCCCAGAACAGACTGTGCCCCTGTGTGGGCCAAATGTGAGGAGAAGGGGACCCCAGAAGTGATCATTCCCGACCCCTGTCCTGAAGGAGCCCACAGCTCTCGGGGACACACCTGGCAACAGATGGGAGGCAGCACGAGGACGCTGGGCCAGGGGTGTCCTCAGACAGGGCAGTCAGGGGTCTCTCTGGGGGGCGGGTCTGAGCTGGGCCTCAGGGCTGGAGCGGGAGCTTAGGGAAGACCACCAGAAGGCGGCCCCGCTGCGCACAGGAACACACACAGGCGCGGCAGCCGGCGCCGCCGCCCCGGGGAAGCGCCCAAGCGTTCGTGGGGTGCAGTCCCCTGTCTGCTGGCAGTGGGCAGGTCCTGATGAAGTGACAGGCTGGGTGAGGCTGCGGCACGTGCCTGCTGCTTGCCCGGGGCCTTGCTCCAGACGGACAGATGGGCAGACGGGGGACAGAGGCTCAGGCCAGGGAGGGGGGCGCGGTGGCCCTGTATCACCAGGCACCAGGGGCTGGCCTTCTGCTGGATCAGCTGGGGCCCAGCCCCATCAGGTGGTCTCCTGGTATTGCGGGAGGTGGGGGGCACGGCATCTGCTGGAGGTGGTAGGACCCCTGGGTCCTGGGGGCCTGAGCAGCGGCTACTCGCCAGCCAGGGTGCAACCGCTCCAGCCTTTCCCCCCAGCCAGGGCCACCCTGGTTGCGTGTGCTCCATGCGGGCCCAGGACAGCGGGGGTCCCCGGGGGCAGGGGGAGACGTGTGGGGCCTTGGGGACAGTGTCGGGATCAGCTCCAAAGGGGGAGCAGGAACACCACTGAGAGGCGTGTGCGGCTACTGGGGAGCGAGCAGCTCACTCTCAGGGCGCACAGAGTGGGCTCCCCACCTCTCGCTGTTCCGAGCTTTGCGGAGGTCACTACACACATGTGCACACGCACACACATGGGCACACACGCAGAGGCACACGCACCGAGCCTCAGCCCACCCCACCCCACGCATGTGCACCGACACGGAAGCCCACTCATGGACCCACAGCGGCCCCCAAATGCCAAGGCCACGACCTGCCTCAGAAAACCTCACCGAGGCCTGGGGGGCAGCCGTCGCCCCGCTCTGACAGCAGCCCTCTGGGCCCACAGGCTCTGCCGCAGCAGCTGGAGGAGGTGCTGGTGGTGGTGGGCGGCCGGGCCCTGGAGGAGGACGAGGGCGCCGAGGAGCCCGCCCCCCGCCTCGGGAACTTTGATTTCTACAATACCAAAGCCAGTGAGTACCCCCACTCCCAGAGCTCCGCCCGGGTCCCTGCCTCCTGCCGGAGCGCAGGTCCCCCTGGGTGTGCCTCGGGGGCTGGGGGAGCCTGGGAAGGGGATGCTGACCGCAGGCCACTGCGGGCCTGTGTCCCTCCAGCCACAGCCTTCGGTTTGGTCCTTTCGGCCGAGGGGCCCCAAGTGCGGGGCTCCGCTGCCCAGATCACTCGGCGGAAGGGGCGGCCCAGCTGCTGCTTCCTCCTGGGCCTGACGAAACCGCGGCCTCGGGCTGGCGCGCAGGCAGCCTGGGCCGAGAGCTCAGGTTCTGGATCCGCACGAACGGGATTCTAACCACAGCCTTTGAGCAGGTCACGTGACCTCCCCGCCTCGGTTTCCTCGCCTGTAAAATGGGCTCTTGCAGAGCTGAAATGAGGGCCCAGTGACAAGCAGCCCTGCCTTTGGGTGCGCGTCCTGCCAGGGGGCCACCTCGTCCCAGGCAGCGCTCCGGCAGCAGTGATGCAGGCCGGCTGGCACCCTGGGGCCGCTGGGCGGGCCGCCAGCCACCCCACGGCTGCCCGGCTCAGGGCTGACCAGAGGGGATTTCGGGCCTGACATCAGGAGATGAGCTGGGCTGGCTCTGCCCGGGAGCAGCTGTCCCTCGGATCCCACTGGGGGGTCAGCGGGGGCCTGCTGGCAGGCAGGGGCCTGGTGACTGACTTCTGGGCAATCCCCACCCTGGGGTGACACAGACATGAGTCAGGAGGACACACAGCCCCTGCCCAGCAAGGCCCAAAGTTCCACGTGTTCTAGAAACTGCCGTCGGTAACAAGCAGACTTTCCCAAGGGCCGTCCCGGCTGCGTCTCTCCCCAGCCTTCCACGAACCCCAGCTGTGTCTGTGGGACTTAACGTGCCCACCTGTGTTGCCTCAGCCACCTCGCGCCAGCTCACCTGCTGCAGCCCGTGAGGGCGTCTCACCGGGTGCTCTGCTCCGTCCGAAAGGCTCCTTCGGCTGAGCAGCTGCGGGGCGACAGACACTCGCACCTCACGCGGGGTCGGGGTCTGTCTCCCTTCCGCAGACGAGCACACTGAGGCCAGGGCTGTCCCAGGCCGCACAGCGGGGGCCGGAGAGCTGGGTGTGGCCCCCGGCCTGCTGCAGGCCCACACCTGGTCCCCCGCGTGAGCAGGACGGCACTCGGGGCGACTGCGGAATGAGCGAATGACTGATGTTTCTGTTGTAACCCACTAGTGACCAGAGACCAGGCCCCTTAACCCGTCACCCTTTCTGACTGAGGTGACAAGGTCCATTTGGGGTCAGTGGGGTCAACTGCAGGGTCGTGTGAGAGCGGCCTCTGGAGCTGGGGCCTCTCGGCTCACCCTGGGGCCGTCCTGAGCCCAGCCTGCGTACGGGCTCCGAGGGCCACCGGGAGCCAGGCCTGCAGTGCACACGGAGCCCCAGGGCCGCCTCATGCCCCCACTGGGGCTGCCCCTCCGCAGCGGCCGCCGAGCCCCCCTTGCCTCCCACTGGCGAGGGGGCGTCTGCGCCCGAGTACAGGAGGCCTGGGGACGGGCCCAGCAGTGAGCTCTGCAGGCTGATCCCCGGCCTCTCCCTGCAGGGCGGTGGGTGCCTCTCCCGGACTTCCCCGACTTCCACAAGTGGGGCTTCTCCCTGGCCGCCCTGAACAACAGCATCTACGTCACAGGTGGGCAGGCGGGGCCCTGCGCGGCGGGACCCCCGGTTCAGCCAGGGCTCTCCCAGAGCGGCACGCTGTGACCCGAGCACGGTCATCCCCTGGGACATCCCCCGGCCTGACAGTCACCGCTGACCTGGCCCTGGCGGCCTGTGCTCTGCTGGGACCCTAGACGGAGCTGTGCGGGGGGAGGGTCACTCTGCCCTGCCCTAACTCAGAAGGGGGGTCCTTGTACCATCTGGCTGGGAAAGAGCTCCCACGAGGGGTTTCCAAACCGCGGATCTCGTGCTCCTTATTTGTGGATCATGGAGGGACCTGTCCAAGCCAGCCGGCCAGACGGTGCCACCAAGGTCCACCCATCCCAGTGTCTGGCAGCACGGAGGCCTGGCCTAGGGAGAAGGTAGCAGGACGCTTGGTGCCCAGGCCCCACGGGCTCAGAGACCTGAGGCTGGCGGGTGCCCAAGTGGACAGAACCTCTCCTGGCAGGTGGCTCCCGGGGCACCAAGACGGACACCTGGTCGACCACCCAGGCCTGGTGCTTCCCCATGAAGGAGGCGGCCTGGAAGCCGGTGGCGCCCATGCTGAAGGCCCGCACGAACCACGCCAGCGCAGCGCTCAACGGGGAGATCTACGTCATCGGTGGTAAGCTGCCGCCCCCGCCCCAGGCTGCCTCCTGCTCCTCGAGCCCCTCCCCGCCCCTCTGCAGCCTGGGGCCTCTCGATCCTGCAACAATGGCTCCCCACCCACATGCTCCCGGGGACCAGGGAGCCCCCACGCTGGCCCCAAGGTCGACAGACACTGCCCCGGGTCCTGCCTTCAGGGGCTCACTGTCTGGGATCAACAGGACCCACAGCAGGTCTGGGCCAGGCTGTCAGAACGCACACCTGGGCTGTCCCAGCTGGACAACCTGGAACGAGGCTGGGCAGCCAGCTCCGGTGACTGATGCACTCCAGACACGGGCCCAGGACAATGACTCAGTCCCCAGAAGGACACCCTCGAGGAGCTGGGTCTCCAGCTCCCAGCACGTAGCCCTCCCGTCCCAGACCTTGGGCTCCGGGCTCGGCCCGGGTCCCTGCCTCTGCTCTGGCAGTCCCGGCGGGAGGGGACCAACAGTGGGCCCCTCGGCTGTCCCTTTGCCCCGCCGTGCCCCAGCCTGCGCACAGGAGCCCACCTTACCCCCTTCCACCCACAGCCCAGTGAAGTCTCCCGGGACGCGTGTGGTGGGTGAACATTGAACACGCGTTCCCCGGGCTCTGTGGGGGACCTGCTGGCCCGGCCAGCCCTCGTCCTTCGGTGGTGGTGACGCTCAGCCCCAGAGCAGAGAGCATACAGTCCCCAGGCTCTGCCTACCGCCGGGAGGGCCCCTCACCACACCCAGGCTCTGCCGGGGGCCAGGGCTGACATGCTCCGCAGGGAAGGAATCCCTGTGAGAGGCCCAGGGCCGGCCTCCTGGGGGGTCCCACCAGCACCCCTCCAACGGGCCCCAGCTCTGAGGGGTTTGCTGTGAGGTCCCATCGCCAAATGGAGGGGAATTCCTGTGGTACAGGCCCCCCCATGCCACTTCTTGGCCATGTGGCCTTGGACAAACACCCTCAGCCCTCAGAACCCCACTTCCCCTGAAATGGGGATAACACACCTGTCTGGTGAGGCTGTGCCCCCACTTCCTTCCCTTCCCGGGGCACCCAGGGTGGTCCCAAAGCCCTGGCCCCGCTGTCCAGGAACCCCTGTAGCCCCGCCCCTGCAGCCCTGCCCCACCCCCGCAGGCACCACTCTGGACGTGGTGGAAGTGGAGAGCTACGACCCCTACACCGACACCTGGACACCCGTCAGCCCGGCCCTCAAGTACGTCAGCAACTTCTCGGCGGCCGGCTGCCGGGGCCGGCTCTACCTGGTGGGCTCCAGCGCCTGCAAATACAACGCACTGGCCCTGCAGTGCTACAACCCAGCCACAGGTGGGGCCCGGGCAGGTGGGGCTTGGGACAGGTGGGGCTCAGGGCTCGGGACAGGTGGGGCCTGGGACAGGTGGGGCCCGGGATAGGTGGGGGCTGGGGGACAGGTGGGGGCCTAGGGATAGGTGGGGACAGGGGACAGGTGGGGGCCCGGGACAGGTGGGGCCCGGGACAGGTGGGGGCCCAGGGACAGGTGGGGGCCCAGGGACAGGTGGGGGCCCAGGGACAGATGGGGGCCAGGGGACAGCTGGGGGTCCGGGGACAGGTGGGGGCCCGGGGACAGGTGGGGGCCTAGGGACAGGTGGGGGCCCGGGGACAGGTGGGGGCCCGGGGACAGGTGGGGGCCCAGGGACAGATGGGGGCCAGGGGACAGCTGGGGGTCCGGGGACAGGTGGGGGCCTAGGGACAGGTGGGGGCCCGGGGACAGGTGGGGGCCCAGGGACAGATGGGGGCCAGGGGACAGCTGGGGGTCTGGGGACAGGTGGGGGCCCGGGGACAGGTGGGGGCCCGGGGAGAGGTGGGGGCCCGGGGACAGGTGGGGGCCCAGGGACAGGTGGGGACAGGGGACAGGTGGGGGTCCGGGGACAGGTGGGGCCCAGAGAACGGAAAACTGAGGGGTCACGTGCACAGCCAGTCCCAGCCCAGCCCAGAGGAATGGGGACCTGGGGTCAGATGGCCCAGGGGCAGGTGACGGAAGCTGTCTGGCTGCTGAGTCTGCCTGGACTGGCCTCACAGGCCGGGAGCTGAGGCGGGACCCCCAGGCCAGGGCGGCAGCTGTCTCTGGGCTTCCTGACAGTTTGGGCCCCAGCTGGACTGTCTCTGGCTCGGTGGCTCTCCCAGCCCCGTCTCTCATCCTGTTCTGTGCCCTGGACAGTGGACACGAACTGGGACCCATTTAGCAGGATGAGTACGAGGATCTCATGGGAGACAGCTGCACCAGGGTCGGGGGGCCCCCAGATAACCTGATCAAGGGGACGGGGCCAGAAGGAGGCAGAGGCTCAGGGTGCCGTCAGGGGGGTGGCCACCAGACCAAGGCCTCAAGCCTGAAGGGCCCTGCTCAGGACCTGAGGATGAAGCTCTGAAGGTGTCCTGTCCCCAAGTCCCCCCACACCCCTCACCCCCGTCCAGAGAGTAAGGCTCAGCGAGGTGGGGGCAGTGGAACCCCCACCCCACAGGCAAGGGGCTCACTTCCCAGGCTTCAGTGGGGGTGTTGCGTGGGGGAGCCCCGCCCGAACACCCTGGTGTCGGTGGGCCTCAGACCCTGTGTCCCCCCAGAAGCGTGGAGCGTGATCGCCTCGCCCTTCCTCCCCAAGTACCTGTCCTCTCCGCGCTGTGCTGCCCTGCAGGGGGCGCTCTACCTGGTCGGCGACAACACCAAGAAGGTCTACGTGTACGACCCTGGGGCCAACCTGTGGCAGAAGGTGGGCCTCAGCCTCGCCTCCTGTGTGACTGCACCCCGGGGGTGTTGTCACAGGGGCCAGCGAGGGAAAGACAAGGGCACAGAGCCTGGCCTGAGACCCCGAGGATGTGAGAGCCAAGGACGGGGGACACTGCTCACTGCGGTGCCTTGTCCCCAACGCAGGGCCGCCTGTCCTTGTTAGGAGCAGACCAGGCTCAGCTGGGGGTGCTTCACAGCAGCTGTGGCTGAGGGGAACACTCCTTCCTGTTGCTCGGGCCCCAGGGGAGTGAGCCTTCTGCCCCCAGGGGCAGTCAAGCCGGGGAGCAGACTCCTGATTTGTGGGTGAGGTGGGAGCAGCCCATTCTCTCTGCCACTGGCCCAGGGGAGGCCGTGGGAGGTGGGCATCTCGGGACTTGCCCTCGGGGGCACCAGCGCCGCGGCCTTTCTCCTGTTTCTTCTGGAGAAGAAGGAGGAACAGTGCCCGGCGCCCACAGCGGCCTCAGCACTAGTTGGATGCCCTGGGCCCTCCCCACCTGCCCTGAGAGTCTCGGTCCCTGGAGGCCGGCGGAGGGGCTCTGCCGGCTGCAGCCGCCCCAGGAAGGCCGTGCGCCCGGCCTCGCAGGGCCTCCGTGGCCCCGCTGCCAGCAGCTGTCTCCTGGCGCCGGTGCTCAGCTGACCGGAGCCCCACAAAGGTGCAGGGCACGCCCTGCCAGGGGGGCTCTCTCCTGGGCCCTCTCAGCTGGGCTTCCGCTCACCCGCTGCTCCGGCCGAGGTCCCAGCCCCGAGGGCCGCACTTGCCCTCTCCAGGCGCAGGGGGTGGCCGCCCATGACGGCCTTCAGGTGGCGGCCACGGACAAACTCTCCTTGCCGCCACACGCTCTTCCAGAAGTGCCTACGTCTCTGGGCCGGGCAGGCTGCTGGCCCTGACCCACCCGCCCCAGGCTGTGTGAACAGTCCACGGGGTGTCAGTGGTCCCACACGTGTCTGTCAGGGCTGAGGCCACATCCGTCCCCTCCAAGAGAACCGCCGAGACTCGGGCTCTACCCGGACCTCACCCCAGGAGGCAGCCCCAGGCTCAGGCCCCCATGTCCCCTCACCCCAACTTCCAGAAAGGAGCAAGTTTGGGCCCAGGAGAGCAAGAGGGTGCTGGAGACTCATCCTGGGCTGCGGGCTGGAGAGGAGGGCGGTGGGGTCGCCCGGGGGAGTCAGAGAGGTCCTGGAGGGGGAGGGAGTGACGGATGAGGCCCCAGGCCCCAGGTGTGCTGGTGCCCTGGAGGGGCCGTGGGCCGTGGTGCTGGCATCCGCTCTGCGTGTCCCCGGCCACCGCCCTCTGGCTGCCCACTGGGCACTGACCGCTGACCGCCCACAGGTGCAATCTCTGCACAGCCTACACGAGAACGGCGCGCTGGTGCCGCTGGGTGACGCGCTGTACGTGACAGGTGGCCGCTGGCAGGGCATGGACGGCGACTACCACGTGGAGATGGAGGCCTACGACCCTGGACGGGACGCCTGGATCCGCCACGGCGCCCTGCCCCGCCTCTGGCTGTACCACTGCGCGTCCGCCGTGTTCCTGGACGTGTCCAGGTGGACCCAGCCTTTCGGCCCCGCCCCGGAGCACTGAGCGGGCGGAGCCCCGGCGCCCCTGTTCCCTTCTGCTTGTTTGTTCTCGCGGCTGGGGCTGGGCTCAGGCCCCCACACTGCTCTGAGCTGGGCGCCGCAGGGGCCGGGACGCTGGACCCCGAACTGGTGGAGAGGCAGCTCCCAGCCCACAGGGGTGCCTGACCTGACAGGAAGGCGCCGAGGGTCCGGGCAGAGCTGTGAGGACTGGTGGGCGGCCCCGGAGAGGGCTTATGTACGAGGGGTGACGGACACGGAAGGTGCTGGGGAGGGCGGGCCGCCTGGCCCACAGCTGTGTGACCAGGTCCAGGGCACGCGGGCCAGCTCCGGGGGCTCTCGGCTTGCCCTGCGCTCCCCCTTCACCTCTGCACGTTGGCGCCTGTTCCCCAAGGCTGCTTCTGGGGACAAAGGAGGACCCCACCCCTGGAGGGCAGCACCCAACCAAGGCCCTGGAAGGAAGGGGTCGGGCATGGGGACAGGGGGTCCTTCTGCCTGCGCCTGAGCTCGGGGAGGCAGCGAGACCTCCCAGGGAGGCGGGCAGGAGGGCTCTCGGGCCAGGATTCCCTTTCTCGGCGTAGTTTGCTTCCAAAGGCTCATCCGGACGGAAGTCCCCAGAGGGAGGCTCATGGCGGGGTAGGTTGGGGGGTTGTGATCTGGGCAGAATTTCCCGGGAAGCCTCTTGGGCACCTCGGCGGGTTGCTGCCAGAGCCTCCTGAACGAGGGCGGCGCCCCGAGTCCCCGAGTCTGCGGGGTCCCACGCAGAGCTGGCTCAGGCTCCCTGCTCCTTTCTTGTCCTGAATGAGACAGTGTTTGTCACCAAGGGGACAATGGAGGACTCTCACGGGGTGCGAGTGGCCCTCCCGCTTTGTCACGGGCTCCGTCAGGGACACAGGCTGCAATCACGGTCCTGGGCCCAGCCTGGCTCCAGCCGCGTGCTGCCCGGCTGAGGCCCTGGGCAGCTCTGGCCTCTCCCACCGGCTCCTCCCGAACCTCCTCCCGAGACCAGAGGTGCCTTTGTGTCCTGGCTCTGAGGAAGGGTCCTTGGGCCCCAGCTCCCATAGGTCAGACCCCCTTTGCTCCAGACCTGACCCCGCACGGCCCCCAGGCCCCAGGCGCTGAGGGGCCTCCTGAGTGCCTGCACCCTGAACCCCAGACCCCTGTTGGGCTGGTGGGTGGGTTAAAGTGAGGGTGAAGGTTTCTGGAACCCTTGAATCTTTCTGTCTAAAAATTCTGTGAAACATTTTCCAGACGGTTATTAAAGGTGCTCAGCCAAGTGCTGTTTCCATAGAGACTCAAGGTCAAAATGCACTTCCTTCGATCACCGATGGGTGGTGTCCTGGAATCAGGTGTGCTTTCTGCTCCTGCACACCCTCGGCAATGGGTGGGGGCCCTGGGGTGGGGGCCCCTCTTCTGATCCACTGAGCTGCCCCTATTCGGGCCCCTGGACCGGGCCAATTGTATATCCTTCAGGGACCCCGGAGGAAACATGTGACCCCGCAAACTGAGTGATGGAAAAGGGTTTCGTGAGAGCCATTTCCAAGGTGTGGGCGAGAGCTGGAGAGGTCACCACCTCCTGCCCAGGGACGAGGGCGGAGCAGATGCAGACTCCAAAGAGCGGGGCCTTTGCCAAAGGGACACAGCCACTGCCCACTGCCCACTGCCCACTGCCCACTGCCGCCTGCCACCCAGGGGGAGGACGTGGCAGCACAGAGACCTCTCACTCTCGTTTCCGCCCCCCCGTATCCCCATAGGGCCTCCCCAGCCAAACCCAACCAGAACCCCGGGGAAGACAGGCCGTCCACACTAGCGGCCAGCAGGGGGCAGACAGCAGGGGGGAAGGGGGACGGGCAGCCAGTAGCCAAAGGAAGCTCTGCAGCCACCAAACTCTCATGAGGCGTCCGTGTGAACGGGCAGGTGGAACTCATGCGAGGCATGTCCTCTGAGCCAGCCTCGTCCCTTGTCAAAGTCCCCAGGAATACAAGGGCTCTTGGAAGGTTTGGGGCTACTATGGACCCCCAGAAAGGGGGATGGAGAGCCTTGGAATGTAGGCAAAAGACCAAACTCTCAGGCTCCCGGGGGTGGGCGGGTCACCACCTCCCCAGCCCCCGAGGGCTCACATCAGCAGACAGGTACATGCCGTTTCCCACAGACAATGTTGGGTAAACGGAGGCACCTCCACACCCCGTCCAGCAGACTCCAGCCTTCCGTGACCACACAGTGTCCTCTGTGGTCAGGCCCAGCACAGCCAACTTTGGCTCAGCGCCCTGAAGTTCCCAGATGAGTCAGGGTCTGGGGATGTTTCCAGCCACTTCCGTCAGACTTGGGTTTTCTAGGCTATCCCAGACAAGACCCTGTTGTTATTGAGCGTCTTCCCTGGACGAGGCAGGGACAGTGATCGCTGGACTCGGGCAGTGACACTCCCCTGGAAATGTCTGTAATTCAGTGAACTGGTCACAGGACAGCTCACTGTAGTCAATTCTGACCACCACTTAGTAGGTCGACCAGTTGGCCCAGTGGAAACTGACTATAACAAGTCCTGGAGTAATGTGGTTTCATTATAATGTTGATGAGCTGGCATAAGAATTTAACTCTTGTTTACATCAGTTAGCCTATGACCTGCCAGTGGTGCTAAGTGAGGACTTACCGCATTGACCCACTCAGGAAGGGGTGGTCTCAGCCACGTACAAGGTGAGGATGCTCACTCCTCCAGGGCCTCACACAGTGCCGGACACTCAGCCAGAAGAGTGGCTGCCATGGCCTCCCAAGCCCCAGCACCAGGCACACCGGAGAGCAGCCAGGCGTGAAGCCGACGCGTGGAGAAGGGCGTGGTCTGTGCTAGACCTTCACGGAGAAGTGACACCCCAGGAGCTCAGCTGACTTCCTCAGAGCTGATGGGCTGTCCCGGGGTTTCTCAGGGCTAGGGGCTGGGGATAGTTTGGTCACCGCCAACTTGGGCTCCGCTCCCTTTGGTTCCCAGGTGAGTCACCGTCATATTTAAGAGTTTGATTCTTAACAAAATGGCAAACATAGCCTCCAATATCTACCCTTTTGCATTCAATGAGAGGTGAACTAACGTGTGACTTTTAAAGTCACCTATTGGAAGCATGATAGTGTTACCGGCGGGATGAGACCTCGGTTCTTGTCTTCCTGAAGGAAGATTTCAGTCGAGAGACGAAGTGCAGCCCTGGCTGGTTTGGCTCAGTGGTTAGAATGTCGGCCCGCGGACCAGAGAGGCCCAGTTTGGTTCCTTCTAAGGGCATGTACCTCGGTTGCGGTTTGTCCCCGGCCCTGGTCGAGGTTATGTGGGTGGCAGCCACTCGATGTGTCTCTCACACGTCGATGTCTCTCTCACACGTCGATGTCTCTCTCTCTCTCTCTCTCTCTGTCCTAATAAAAAGGAGAGAGAGATAAAGTGCAGTGCCCTGGCTGGTGTGGTTCAGGGGTGAGAGTGTCAACCCATGCACTGAAGGGTCATGGGTTCAATTTCTGGTCAAGGGCACGTACCTGGGCTGCAGGTTCGATTCTCAGCCTTGGCAGGAGCATGCTCCGGAGGCAACCCATCGATGCCAGCGGAAGTGTCTACTGGCCGCAGCAAAAGCACTCACTTTGTTAAAGCTGGGGCGGTGAACCAAGGTAGGGCTGAGAAGAAGCAACAGGAGACCTAGGCAGGGCTGGTTTGGCTCACTGGGGATTCAGAGGAAGGGGGCTTTGGGGACAGGGTCGGGGGTGAGCCTGGGAGGAGCTGCCGCTGCCCATTGCTCCCCTGGTTGCGAGTCTCCCGGGTCCCTTCAGGCCTGCCTGTGGGGGAGGGGAATGGCCTGGGCGTGCTCCTCATAGGGAGAGCGCGGGCTGGGTCCCGTGTGCAGAGGGCTTTGTCTCCCTTGCAGGTGGGAACCTCAGGGGAGGTCTCAGCAGATACGCATCAGCCTTCTGGTCTTCACTCAGGGTCGGAGCCAGGGCAGGGGTAGGCTTAGGGGTCATTAGTCTGCACGTCACCCTGGGGTCACTTGTCTGGTTTTGCTGCATTTCTGGGCCTGGAGCAGAAATATAGTTGAGGCCTGGATGTTATCTTTAGGGAGGAAAAGGTCAGGGAGTCACGCTCGGGGAGGGAAAGTCACCTTGAGTCCTTCTTTTCCCAGGCTTGCCTGTCGCTAGGCTCATGGGCTTTCCGGCCCGGTGACCTGCACCTGGCCCATCGCCCTTGCTCTGCTCCTGTCTAACTGCCTGTCACAAGGGCAGTGAGCAGCAAACCACCCAGGCAACACCTTGGGCAGAGTGAGGACGATGGGATCGCCCAGGGACCGTCCCGGAGGCGCCAGCGCCTAGCGCCGGGCCGTGTCTGACACGCAGCGGGACTGAGAAGCACTTGCTGGGTCGAGGGGAATCTGTGGGTCCCCGGAGATGCCGGCCTCAAGCTGCGGGGCTGGACCTAGACGAGGTACAAGGGTCTGAGCCTCGGTGTCTCCTCTGAGCAAGGGGGACAGCACATGATTTGAGAATTAGATGATGTCACCTGCTGGGAAGGCTCAGAAGCCGCAAAGGTCACCTGCCTGTCCAGCAGGAGGCCACACAGCAAGTTGACTTCGGCTCCCACTGTTTTCGGGCGAAGGGAGCTTTGATTCCCATGACTTCATCCACAGAGGTCCGTCCCTTGGAGCAGAGACGAGTGGGAACAGCTTGGCTGGGTCCGGACGCGGGCCACCAGGGCTGAGGCCGTGACATGAAGGCCAGAGAACGAGGATTAGATTTCAGCCCAGCGTGAAGGCGTTTAGGGGAGGCCCCCTCGTGCTCCGCTGGGCCCCCTTCTGCAGCCCTCAGCACCTCGACCCTGGGGTTCGTCAGTCCCCCATGTTTCCCCACGGTGGCCCCTGGGCTGCTGTGGGGCAGGGGCGTTGGGGCCCTCGGAACCCTGTTTCTGGGGGTCCTCGGCCTGTGCCACCCTTTGCTAAGCCCTGGCCTCTGACGGATGTGGGTTTTGATATGTGATCCCAGAAACACGCAGGGATCCCACCTGAAGCCCGCCCCCCCCACACTCTCCTGCCCCGGGCCAGGCTGTGCCGTCACCTCGGATAAGGTTACAGGAGCTGCCCAGCACCAGAACCGATTCGATTCGGGTCCTCTGTGGGCCTTGACATCACCAGGATTATTCACTGTTTTCACATGGCAACAGCTCCGGTCCTCGGCGCCGGCGTCGGGCACGGCAGCCCCACTGATGTCACACGAACATCTGAAGGGTCACGTGTGCCTGGAATGGGGTCTCTCTGTCCCCACACATTCCCCATGTGGCCACGGTGGCAGAGCCTGACTGTCACCTTCCCAGGGTACAGGTTGGCCCCTGTGGCCTCTGACCCTGAGAGCCTCGTGCCCCCACGGACAGAATCCCAGAGGCAGGTCCCCAGGCGTCCGGGTCTCCACGCTGGGCCAGCGTCGCTGCCCCCTTCCT